CCCCCGCCGGCGGGCTCCCTTGTCCGGGCGGCAGGGAGGGAGGTCCCCGTTTAAGGGACGTGGAGGCACCCAGGTCCCAGGTCTCTTCCTGGTCTGGGCACCACAGGTGGGGGCGACCCCGGGGAGGCCGGTGGAGGGGAACGCGGCCCAGCAGAGACCTTCGGCATCCCTTGGATTCGCAGGCAAAAGTTGTGGGTTTGGGGCAGGTGGGGACTAATAGTGTCTGTCACTTTGTAAAGTGGATGTAACATCCAAGTAGATACGATATATTTTGAAGAGTTTTCCTTTCTGAACATAGTTTTGGTGAGAACTTCCTCCCAGCTGATGGGGCTGGTTGAGGAGCTGGCTGGTGAGCTGGCTGGGGTAACTTTTAATCCAGCGCTAATGTTTGTTTGTGGCTTGTCAGTTTTATTGGCACAGCTGAATTGGCAGGGCCCAAGCCATTAGAGAGGTGGGGTGTCCTGGAACTGGTTGGGCCTGTCTCGTCCGAAATTGTGCTTCAAAGTCCCAATACCATTACAAGAGGATCCCTTCAGCAACCTGTAGTGTCGTCCAGAGGTGGCAGTAGTTTACCAGGACTCTCACCAGTTTGCAGTGCTGGTGTGGAACAGGCTGCTCGTCCTCCGGGTGGCTTCTGGATGCCAGTGGGAGTCTGCGGGCTGGTTTCCTTTCATAGCTGCTGTTTGTTATTCTGCAGCCCTTGATGCTGATATAACCAAACCTCAGCAGGGAAGTGGATAAATAGAGAACTGCGCACAGCCCAGGAACTGTAGTTCAAATATTCTTACGCCTTGCTCTTTTCTTGGGAAAGAATCCCAAACAAATGGGGACTTGCTTAGAGTTCTGAATCATGTTTTTTGGCAATTAATTATTTCCGAGATGAAGGCTTCAGTTTCAGCTTTAAAAACAAGCATCACAGTGTTAAATAAACTTTGTCAGTCAGATACACTTGATCATTTCCATGACAGAATTATGCTGCATCACTTTTATCCTTCCAGAACCAATATGCCAAATGTGACAGGCAGATACTAATCTTTGTTATACATCAAAAGAGCTGCTAATTACAATGGATCAATCACTTTGTTAATTTAAAATGGAAAAGGATAGACCTACCAGGATGCTATTGACCTTTTCTCTGCAGAGATTTTTTTTCTTTTTTCTTTTTTTTTCCTGTATATAGATGAGAAGGGAAATGTAAGATAACTTTTAGATCCTGTGATGTGTTTTAGTGGCACCTTAAAACACTGAAGAAACAATAAAGTATGATGTCAAATGAAACAGTAATTACCATAGGTTTTCTTGATTTTTTTTGTTTTGTTTTTTTGGGGGGGGATACATTTAGTATGTCCTCTCAGAAAGGAAGAAACAAAATCCTGTACATGCTGACAGTGGCAAACAATTATTCCCTTAAATCTTGGTGTAAAGCTTAGCAATGCAATGTTCTTGTTTTTTTGTGTCTCGTAAGGCTAGTGACTTAATTTTGTAGTAAAGGTATCTAGTTGTCTGATCTGTGAGATGAACTGTAGTTTAATATGAAGTTTAAAAATGCATACACAGGCAGTGATTTTTATTTAATTTCTATTTTGAAAGTTTTAAAATGAACTAGGCATTCATGGCAGCTACAGGAAATATTCTAGATACTCAAGGCTTGGCGTTTTGGGGTAATTTTTTTTTTTTTTTAATAGACAACATGGCAAGTCCGGGGAAAGATAATTTCAGAATGAAAAGCTATAAGAACAATGCACTAAATCCCCAAGAAATGCGCAGACGAAGAGAGGAGGAAGGAATCCAGCTTCGGAAACAAAAAAGGGAAGAACAGGTAAGCCTGTCAATGAGGTATTAGCTGTTAAGGGTTTCTGAAGTTGTAGTCAGGACCGTTAAAGCAGATTTTTTTCTGGACTAGAATCCAGAGAACCAGGTTAAATATTTCTTCTGTGCAGTCTTGGTGAGTGCGAGGCACCTTTCAGTAGTATCATAAAACAGTGAACCAAAGCCCTCTTAAGTCATTGGGGACCACTAAGGAGAGATTCATATCTGAAGTTTAATTAATCCCTAAATTACAATTAAATCTCAGTTTAAACATGCAAGACTAGGGTGAAGGGAGTGTCTTAAGTCAGATTAAGTTTCAAAACCCTGCCTTCTCTTTTAGAGTTTGGGCTGAAGTTGTACTTTTGAAAGTAAGAGGATTATTTTTGTTTTTGAGTAGCTGCCTTAAACTGCTCAAGAGCTTTTCAAAATCTAACAGTTAGTGCCGTGGCTATCAAATGGAAGTCCCTGAACTATTGTTACTGAAATTTTAGTGATGAGAGTACACAGACTATTGAGTAATTTTATGGCTGGTGGTGGTCTGTCTTCCCTAAATGTTTCTGAATTCCCATCCAGGAAAGTAATGACAGTAGTTTGATATTATCCGCAGACTCTTGTCTCCCATCACTGAGAGAGAGATGGGAATGCTTACCCTTCTCCTAGGAAAGTGGTGCCACTGCATGGAAAAGGAATTAAAATTAGTTGGACTTCAGATTTAGGATTAGTAGTAGTATGGTGCTATTTACTACTAATTCAAGTGAAGGGATGCACCTGAATTTCACTTTTTTTCATAGGGTTATCTGTTTATTTTTAAATTCTCCCCAGATAAATTACAAAAAAAAAATGGGTGTGCCTTGCCCTATGCTGAGTGTTGTCAGAATACAGTTCTGTTTTCCTTCATCTTAATTTGTTAGACTTGTATTTTCAGCTCCCCTCACATTGAGGGAACAAGTTATGCAAGAAGATGAGACCGCTTTTTTTTTTTGCGCTAGAAAAACTGGTAGACAAAGCAAGTTGGTAAACAAAAGCAGTTAACAGGTTTCAACCAAGAGCTTGTGCACTCTTGCTGAGTACCGTAAGGAACGGCCGATCTTAGAAAAGAGGAACATTGTCTTTCCTTCCGTTTTTAGGTTTCAGTGGAATTGAGTACAGTTGTTTTGTGTCCTGGATTCTACTGGATCTAGAAATGTGCTGAAAAAGGGACAAAATGCTTTGTTTTAGGATGCTGCTTGACTTTGACCTATGGGTAGAGTTGCTTCAGCAGGTTCGGCCATGTCCAGTAGCAGATATGTAGGTGTCCAGGCAACTTTGATGACCTTTGGGATTCGTTATTATGCTTAAGAGGTGAGATCACGGAAAGTTAATGGACTGGGATTTTAGTTTTTATTTTAAAGATATGGGCATAATCTTTGACCTGTTAATTGTTGCTTGAGCATAAAGGTTGAAGTAGATGATCCCCAGAGGTAGCTTCTGACCTCAACTATTCTGTGTAATTATAATAGCTGTACTATGTGTAGTGTAGTACTGAACTGAAGATAAAAGTGTAGGTTTGGTTTCTAGAAGCAAAACAGGCTAACCTGAATGTTCTGTTTGTATGCCAGAAAATGAAGAGGTACTCATTAAGCATACCTGTTAAATGCATTCAGGTATCTATTTAGAATATAGGCAGTGTATAAAGCCAGTGTTAAACATTCCCGATATCCAAAATTACTTTAAAGATGCGTCTTTAGAAAGTTCATCTGGAAGCCACACTGTTTTCTCCATCCCTGTTAAAATAATGTTTCTATTTTAGTTCTTCTACAACTGTACGTGTGGTTACAAATTAATTATCCTAAAAAGAAAGTGCATAGGTCTTAGACTTTCCGTGCTGAATGTGAAAGGGAGGAGTGCAGTGTACAGAAACAGGGATCCTGCCTCTGTGTTGATCGTTTAGCTTGCAAACTATGTAAAGAAGAAACAGTATTACACTAGCTATTTTTTTTTAAATAAGTGCTGAACTATGAGGAATTAAACCCTAAAAGCAAAAAGATGTGTATTTTGATGTTTTTTTTTCCCCATGTGAAAAATGCATACATCTTTTCTAATTAAAAAGAACTCAAGCATTTAAGCATTCATCTGATGTCGTGCAGTGCTGTTCATCAAGATAAAGATGCAGTGTTTTTCTCTTTTATGTTCAGTCAACTTTAATGTAGCTTTCCATTTGTATGGCTGAATAGGAAGGTGAGTAGCTGAAACAGTTCATGTGGCATTTCTTCAAATACATGTCATTACCTGCTCTATGGTCAGCTTTGACATCCCCACGAATTTCTTTGTTTAGCTATTTAAACGTCGAAATGTTGCTCTTCCGGGAAATGAAGAATCTATGATAGAAAGTCCAATTCAGGATCCTGATGTCAGCTCTACTGTACCTATTCCAGAGGTAAATACTTTTGAGTGTTTTAAAGATATTATCTATCATATGCTTAATTTGGACATAAGAAATCGTTCTTTCATTTTTAGGAAGAAGTTATTACAGTAGATATGGTCCAGATGATTTTCTCAGATGATCCTGATCAGCAACTCACAGCAACGCAGAAATTCAGAAAATTGCTATCTAAAGGTGCATAAACATTTTCTGTTTTTTTGTTTGATTTATTCATTTTATGTTGGTATTACAAACTCAGTTAGAGGCTAACTTTGTTCTGCTTTAAAAAAGAGCTTGCTGAAGCTTCTAGTTCTGTTTATGTGGAAATAGTGCCAAGTCCATTCCTACATAATGGCAAAATACAAAAAGCTTCATTATTCTCATGTTAAGTCTTTCAGACAAAGTGACAAAAGCAAGAACGTTTTGATAAAAGTGTCCAGGGCAATATCTAACTGTACACTAGTGGTACTTGTTGTACTATTTGAATTTCCAGTCTTAATGCAGCTCTGTACTTGAGGGGAGGAAAATGATACAGCTGCCAAAGAACACTTTTAACTTGTTTTTGTTGAGTTTTTAAGACATGCGGTCATACATTATTACCGATATTTATCCAGTGCAATGTAAAATCAGACTTGAGCAGTTGTTTACAGAACTGAGGAAAAAATGTATACTAGAGAATCCGAATTAATTAAGCACTATATTGGACAAAGGTATGCCTGGACATTTAATGTAGTATCCCATGATTGTTATTCCTCCGTTGACCTTAATTACTGTTTCAGGGAACAGTGGTTTATAATGAGTTACTAACATGCCAGTGGATAGTAGTGTGTAGAACCTTTATTATTATACACAATAGTGTTTACTAAGTTATAACAGCTTATGGAGATGATTTAAGGAAATAAGTAAATAAATACTATTCTAAAGTCAAAGTTTAGTTCCTTCATTTTAGATTGAAGTGACTGAAGGCTAAAAATTATGGTAAGTACTTCCTGAGAACCATGATGATGTTGTGTTATACAGAACAAGTAATTTGTTTGGTCTTTTTTTGTTAGAGTTACAAATGTGTATTTTTTTTTTCATGTTCTAGAACCTAATTCACCTATAGATGAAGTCATCCAAAAACCTGGAGTAGTGCAGAGATTTGTGAAATTTCTAGAAAGGAATGAGAACTACACTCTGCAGGTGAGTCTAACTGGTACTGGGTTAGAATTTGGAATAGAATTCGAAACCTGCAAAAAATCATTGGAAATGATATTTTTTTTTTATAATCAAATTTAATTATTTTTAGCCATCAAAGATGTAGATCTCAGTGTCTAAAATGTCAGTTATCACAGAAATTAGGTCATGATTAGTCTGATTTTCATAGTCTGTGGGAATATGTATTCAGCTGGTCAAATACTTGGATGTGTCAGTCTTTGTTCAAAAGCATTTCCAAAGTAGTAAAGTACACAACTCATCAACACTGGTGTGTGAGCAGCATCTGTTCTGTTTGAGTTGGGTACAGTGTACTTCTACTTTTCAGTTGTAACTTACAAAAGAAGGAAAAGACACAGAAAACAGAAAGGTTTGTATGAAATGGTTGCAGAAAAATCTTTGAAAAGTTAATAATAAGAAAATAATTAGTTTCTGCTGCCTGTGATAG